TAAATAGAAATCTAAATTAAATCTAAATTATGTAAACAAATTATATGTATATACGAGAACTCCAATTAACTCTCTCTCTCTCTCTCTCTCTCTCTCTCTCTCGTTAACGAGAAGTAAATTATTGTAAATATGGAGTGCGTTTGATTTCTTATTTCATACTCTATTCTCAAAATATTTGTTTGTTTAATTATTTAAGAAATATTATTATATTTTTTTAATTACTTTTAGACCCTTTAAATTTATTAATTTAATAAAAAACAAAAAAAAGTTTAAAAAGTAATAAAAACACCCCCACCCACCTATAATTGCCAGATTCCGGCGGTGATAACCGGAATCTGTCACAACGGCCTACAAATGATCGGAACTGACCGATAATTCGTTGATTTGACCTTTTTCGGCCAGATCCACAGTGGATCTGGCCGTCAATTTGGCTTTTTTTGACCAGATCCGCCAGATCGACACACGTCTGGCCAGATCTGACCGGTCAGTATCGTAATGCCAGATATCGACCAAATTCCAGCGGTGGTGGCCGAAATCTTGCACTATGGATGGGTGGGGGTGTTTTTGTTAGTTTATAAAATTTTTATATATTGGGGTGTTTAGTTAAATTAGCAAACTTATGGAGTTTTTTTGTTAATTTTTAAATTTCACCTCGTAATAATCATTCTATTCAACTATCCAATATTATTTCTAAAATCTCATCCAAAAAAATAAACCAAACGCATCCATATATATTTTTTATTTTATTTTTTTATAAAAAAAAAATAAAGACATCCACACGAGAGACATTTATACAACCATGAAAGAAGTGTAAGCTACGTGCATATACACTCATTTGGAGACGGCGTTTTACCGAAGAAATTTTCTTTTTTAAGTTTGTGAAGGGTTGATGCATGAGTCAAGGTTTATACAAAGATAGCCTACAACTTGAGCTGCAAATTATGCAGATGTAACAGTGCCAGGTTCATGAATTATTAAGTGGTGGTCTTGTGCCTTCGTATCAAATTTCCCCACGAGCCGTTAAGTTAGATTTTCAGAGTAATTGTACCTAATCCACTATTTGATAGAATTTATTAGACGTGACTCTAATTCAATCATTTGAAGCATATGATGTGGGGAAAATATTTAATTTAGGATTTAATTAGAATTTAATTTGTTTCCCTTTCTTTATTTGTTTTCTTATGTTATTAGGTTTCACATTAGGAATTCAAGTAGTTTTTCTATTTTAATTAGGAGTTCGTTGATTTAAGATTTTAATTTAGTTAATTTTACTTTCTTATTTTATAATTAGTTTTTTTTTTTTTAATTAGTCTTGTGTATTTAAGAAGATTTATTTATTTGTTTAATTAGAGTCCTGTTAGGTTGGTTATAACCACCCTATATAACATATTATTTTTTCTTTTGAGGATACATAAATATTCAATGCATTAGTTCATTTCTTCAGATTTTCACAAGTTTAGTTCTCATTGAGACTTTTTATTAATTCAAAGGTAATCGAGTGTTACCCTTATTTATTCACGCTAATCGTTGCGTTATATTGGTATATTTACATAGGGCTTAATAACAAAGTCGAAATTTTTTAGCTCTAATTCAATCACTTGATGCGTAAGGTCACCATATATATATTGATGCCAACTATCATGATTGGGCGGGTGCAGATGTGTCTCGTTGGATTTATTTTATTTCTAAAATCGGTTCTTATTTTAATACCATAGTTGGATTAATTAAGATAAACCTGTATTATATTCCTTTTTCTTTATATAATAAATCAATTAATCCGTTGTTGAGGTTAAATACAACTTTTTCAACAGTAATGACCAATATAATTCTTATAACCAACTTCTTCAACAAGTAATCGCCAATTTTAATGCAATATTGTTGCTAAATGTCAGGTTATATTTTGTTATAAAATCCTCGTATATAGAAAACTTAGTCGTGTACGATGGTATATTATAATTAGATTAATAGATTTATTAATAAATACGGTGAATGAGACTTTGGATAGAACTCACTTCCTCCATCATGCTTCGACGTATCATATCATCGAAACAACTGATTTGAAGGTCTAAATCTATCATGCTCTAAACACAAGTAACTCTAATACATTATAAAGTGAGTTGAGCAAATTATATCAAAGATAACTTAAGATAAAAAGTTAACTCATAATACATTATTATTTATTAACAAATATAATTTTTAACACAAATATAAATAACGTGACTATAACTTGAATATTTTGTTCTTTAATATCAATAGACGTGGATTAACATTATCAAAACTTTAAAACCTGACGTCTACTGGAGCTGGAGATGGAGAAGACTGCTCTGTACTTGTATTCCATATCAAACTTGAATATGAATCCGTACATTCATTTGTCTGTGTAAGTGAGGAAAACCGGAGCACTTGCAGGCGAAGAACTCTCGATCAATGAAACTCTAAACCAAGTCAACCTGACTTTATATCCATAAAGATGACCAAAGACTTGAAACTAATTAAAAACAAATCATAATCCACCACGTAATTTTACAATGTACAGTGGCTGACACGTCCACTGGTAAGATGCTGGTAATACGTTTCTAAGTTCTAACTTACTAATAGAAATCTAAATTAAGATAAATTATGTACCATGATATCTATAGATTAAGTAGAATCTATTAATTCTCATCTCGTTAACGAGAATGAATTTTTTTTTAAAAACATCCAAGTTGATCGATCAGTTCCCATTGATTCAATTAAACTATTAAAATTTGGGGTCCTCTGCCGGAAACTTGCACTAATACAATTCAATAGTTTAGATAAGCTTTAAGAAAATAGAGAATAACATTCAATATATTAATTTTTACATTTATCCACTCGTTTTGAGAAGTTTTTATTAATTTGTATAATGAATGTATCATATCATTTATATATACATTTAATAAAATGTATTTTCTCAGAAACAACTCTCAGGATCGGTGACTCCGCTAGTCGTTCCATGGATGTTATTACATGAAGATGTCGCGGTTTCATTCATGTATTTAAGCTTGATGTCATGCAATCTGATTTCTGTACATAGATTACTAGGGCTGCAATCAAATGTCATAGCCTCTGGTGTTGCAGATGTTCCTTGTATGTTTCTATATGTCACTTGACTAATCTTCACCCCAGAAGTCTGTCAAAAGGGAGACAAAAAAAAAAATGAAGTTTGAGAAGTTAATTATCTATATATTCATATTTCTGTACTTGAGTATTGTAGTGTATATTAATGTACCTGATTAGGGCATCCTTGATTATCGGGACAATAATTTTGATCGATTATAATGGGGTTCTTAACTTTGTACATAATTAAGTCTTGGAAGAGAATGTTTCTCACAAAACCAGTGCTATTTCTTGCCCAAGACTTGATTCTTACTCCATTATCTGACCCTGTAAAAACTGCATTTGTCAATGTTACATTTTCAACCCCATCTTCGTTGAGCTCCCTGCCAAGACTTCCAATACTGTAAATAACAAAATGAAGATCTCAGTAAGGGGCCAATAGTTATGTTTGAATATAATTTTGAAGAGTGTTATTAGTATTACCTAACACCATGTCCAGGACCACACTTGATGCTTTTCATGAACAAGTTTCTGGTACCAGGGCCGATTGATATGCAATCGTCGCCGGTCTGAAGGGTACTTCCGGTGATTGTAACGCCGGTAGAGGATTGCACATGGATGCCATCCGTGTTGGGGCTTTCATCAGGAGCATAAAGCTTCACATTGCGGACAATTACATTGTTGCAACTGTTGACTACAAGGTGAGTTGCCTGACTGTTGATTGAGGTCAAGCCACTTACTATAACATTGTTTGCCCAATTGAATGTTATTGACTGCAGTGGCATATAGATGATGGAAAAATGTTAGATATATAATATATAATTAAGTTATTTATCCTATTAATGAAGCAATTTTACATAGTTGCGCATCCAAGTTTTTTAAATCAAATAAATGAATAACTTAAAAGGAATAAACATATCATATCATCTGTATATTTATTTAATGATATTATGTAATATATGTATTTATTAATTTTTCTGTCAATCATATGGACGTGGTACACGTAATCCATCCTTGAAGACGTTTTTTCAAGTATAGGATAGTAAATGAATTGAAAATTCTCAAATGTAAAGTTCTAATTTTTAAAACTTGATTCAAAATTTGGACGTGTAGAATTTACTAAAACACAAAATTTTAACCAAATTTATTGTATTACCATTCAGAATTTTTTTTCTTTTAATATGTTTTTCACTTCAGAATGATTGATAAATTAATACCATAGTTAACTTACCCTAGCTCCAACTGGGCAATCTTTTCCATACTTCCTGCAATCCCAGAAGCCAGCACCCTTGGCATCAAGATTCCCACCAACAACTGTAAGATTATCAACTTTTTTGAACAAAATCCAATACCCCGAATTCCCAAGAGCACGATAATCAGTAGGAGCAATAATAGTTCCATTTATATGAACCAAAATTCTGCTCTTGCATGGCCCTTGAAACTCCACTTCCTTCATCAAATACCTCCCTTTCGGCACATAAATCGTAGCCCCCTTAGCTGAGCCACAAGCCACCGTCCACGCCCGGAGAAACGCCTCCGTTGAGTCTGTTTTGCCGTCGGGTTTCGCCCCATAAGTTATCACGTTGAGTGCTCCATTTGACGTTACAAAAAATAAGATAAAGAAGAAGAAAAAACTGGAAACAATAAGCTTGGCCGCCATAGTATTAAGCAAATTGCTAGAGATTTTGAGGCAGTTGGGATTGATGAAACGAGATTGCAGTTGGGAGTATTTATATTAGAAGATTATATGTTGTTTAGGATTTGATTATATATTAATTTATGGGTATGTTGATTATTATTACTGTTATGATATCTGTACGGAAAGTTGATAACTTGAAAGTTGTATAAGAATTATATTCTCTAGTGATTATTATATGTAAGACGGCTGACTTAATTAATTATATTAATTTGTATTAGGTTTTGAGTTAAGTAACAACTAATTCAGTCGTCACTGATTAGCTAAGTCATGACCATGATCAAAATCACTTGTATTATTACTATTTCAATTATAAAATTAATATTATTTTTTGGGATATACAATTTTTTTTTTCTTGGATTAAAAATTGTATTTCTCCTACATTGTTAATTTGATAGATAGTTATGTTCTATGTGGTTGGATTCCCCACTCCGTTAAGTTAGATTTTGAGAGTAAGTTTTACCTAAATCCACTAATTTGATAGAATTTTATTAGGACGTGACTCTAATTCAATCATTTGAAGCATATTTGATGTGGGGAAAATAATGTTAAATTAGGATTTAATTAGAATTTAATTTTGTTTCCCTTTCTTTATTTGATTTTCTTATTTATTTAGGTTTCATATTAGGAATTCAAGTAGTTTTCTATTTTAATTAGGAGTTCAGTTGATTTAAGAAGTTTTAATTTAGTTAAGTTTTACTTTCTTATTTTTATAATTAGTTTTTTTTTTTTTTTTTAATTAGTCTTTGTGTTTAAGTAAGATTTTATTTATTTGTTTAATTAGAGTCCTATTAGGATTGGTTATAACCACCCTATATAAACATATTATTTATTTCTTTTGAGGATACAAAATATTCAATGCATTATTCATATTTTTCTTCAGATTTCACAGTTTAAGTTCCTAGAATGAAACTTGTTTATTAGATCTAAAGGTGTAATCGAGTGTTACCCTTATTTATTCACGTTAACTCGTTACGTTAATATTGGTATATTTACATAGGGCCTTAATTACAAAGTCGAGAAATTTTTTTGGCTCTAATTCAATCACTTGATCCGTAAGGTCACGCATATATATATTGATGCCAACTATCATGAATTAGGCGGGTGCAGATGTGTCTCGTTGGATTTTATTTTATTTTCTAAAATCGGTTCTTATTTTATATACCATAGCTGGATTAGTTAAAGATAAACCTTGTATTATATTTCCTTTTTCTTTGAATATAATAAATCAATTAATCCATTGATTGAGGTTAAATACAACTTTTTCAACAAGTAATGACCAACTATAATTCTTATAACCAACTTCTTCAACAAGTAATCACCAAATTTTAATGCAATATTTGTTGCTAAATGTCAGGTTATATTTTGTTATAAAAATCCTCGTAATATTAGAAAACTTAGTCGCTACGATGGTATTATATTAGATTAGATGAGATTTTATTCAATAAATACGGTGAATGAGACTTTGATAGAACTCACTTCCTCCATCATGTTCGACGTATACGATCATCATTTGAATGTCTAAATCTATCATTGCTCTAAACACAAGTAACTCTAATAACATTATAAAGTGAGTTTGAGCAAAACTCATATTAAAAGATAACTTAAGATAAAAAGAGTTTAACTACATATATACATTATAATAGTTATTGATAAGGTGAGACAAATATAATTTTTAACAAAAATGTATAAATAACGTGATGTATAATCTTGAATATTTTGTTCTTTAATATCAATAGACGTGGATTAACATTATCAAAACTTTAAAAATCCTGACGTCTGCTGGAGCTGGAGATGGAGAATGACTGCTCTTGTATAGTTGTATTCCATATCAAACTTGAATATGAATCCGTACATTCCATTTGTCATGTGTAACGTGGAGGAAAACCGGAGCACTTGCAGGCGAAGAACTCTCGAATCAATGAAGCTCTAAACACAAGTCAACCTGACTTTTATATCCAGTAAAGATTGACCAAAGACTTGAAAACTAATTAAACAAATCATAATCCACCACGTAATTTTACAATGTACAGTTGGCTGACACGTCACTGGATAAGATGCTGGAAGTTTCTAATTCTATGAACTTACTAAATAGAAATCTAAATTAAATCTAAATTATGTAAATAAATTATACGTATAGATATACGAGAACTCTAATTAATTCTCTCTCGTTAACGAGAAGTGAATTTTTTTTTTAAAAATTTTTTATTAAAAAAATAAAGAAATCCACAGAGAGACATTCATACAACCATGAAAGAAGTATAAGCTACGTGCATACATACGTGTATATACACTCATTCGGAGACGGCGTTTTACCGGAGAAATTTTCCTTTTTAAGTTTGTGAAGACTTGATGCATGAGTCAAGGTTTATCCAAAGATAGCCTACAACTTGAGCTGCAAATTATGCAGATGTAACAGTGCCAGGTTCATGAATTATTAAGTGGTGGTCTTGTGCCTTCGTATCAAAGTTTACTTTAAAATCTTTGAAATTTATTAAACAATTATAATTATAATTTTACGTTTGCTGCTTAGCTTTTCTCAGCCGGATCGTTATCTCATTTTTAGAGGTTTCCACTCTTATTAATTATCTAAGTAACGAAAATCTTGAAAAATTAATTAATAAATTATAAATTTATAATCACATTTATTGTAAAGTATTACTGCATTCGATTAGGATTTTTAGAAAAACCATTAATAATAATATTACTGATTACTAATAACAAGCTATAATTATTGGTCACACACATCTTTTTTTTTTTTTTTTTAAAGGTTTTTCCTTAGGAATTCTTGGTGTGTTTTTTTTGGTAACTGAGGTGTTCGGCTCAGCTTGTGCTGCACCTCAACTAATCCCTTAGATTAATTGAGCACCATACAAGTCCAAAAGACCAAATAAGTCATAATGTTATTGTGGTAGGGGACTCCAAAGTTTAAACCTAGGGACTTAAGAAAGAAATAAACCTCTTTGACCGTTAGACCAGCTCCTTCGGATTACCATATTTCTAGCTATATAGGAACTCTCAAGATCAAGAAGTTTTTCTTTGATGTTGTTTCCTTAATGCGTATATTAACATAAAAACAAAAGAGGACGTATTGTTCAAAGGACGAGGAGACTCCCCAGCAAACTAACATCCTTGTACAAGCCCAAGGCTACAACTGAACATAGGCCCCAAAAAAAAAACAAGGAAAAACCTTTACAAGAAGACCAGTCAAACACAAGGCCTAACAAGAAACAGAACCAAATCAAATCATTTATTTTTTCACAATAATTTGAGGAGGTTTTGTGAGACAAGAAGACTAACTCTCCTCTTATTTGAATCCAATTATTTAGGGGATTATATATATACAAAAGTTTTTGGCTGCAAAAGTTCCGAGTTTTTAAAATTTGGATGCTTATTATAAGAAGTTGTATTTATCGTACATTACTAAATTGGTGGATTATTATAGTATATATACGTGGTTGTGCTCTTTTGTCTCTTTGAGTTATTTTTTGAGAGTGGGTTTTACACAAGTCCGTGAAATATAATTTTTTATTAGTAATCATTACATTTTTTTTAGTATATTAAAAAATTCATGAAGTCTGTGTATATATATAATGAATCAGGAATTCAATATATTCCACTTGTATTAATTAATTATCAAAGTACCAAATGTACATTAATAAGAACTCAAGTGGATACACTCCAATTAAGTCAAAGAACTAGCACTTCTGGTGGGGATTAATTTACTGCAGCACTCAACAATGCAAGCAAAGCTTTAAAAAGCTGCCAACATGTGGTGTAAACAACCAGTTTAAGCCAAATATACACAAATATACATGAAAATATGTCCATAAGAAATGTTTTTCATAGACAACTCTCAGGATTTTGTACTCCATCACTCGTTCCATTGATGTTCTTGCACGAAGACGTCGCGGCTTTATTCGAATAAGTTAGTTTGATATCTTGCAAATTGATCCCTTCGCATGGAGTACTAGAGCTGCAATCAAATGTCACGGCCTTTGCTGTTGCAGAAGTTCCTTGTATGTTTCTGTATGTTATATCACTGATCTTCACACCAGAAGTCTATAAAAAACAAGCAGAAAAAAATAAAAAAATTAATCCCAAGGCTTAATTAATGGAAATTACCATTGATTTTTCTTGGATTCGAAGTTTTATGTACCTGATTAGGGCATCCTTGGTTGTTGGGGCAGTAATTTTGATCAATTATAATTGGATTTTTTGTGTTCTTCATGATGATGTTTTGGAAGAGAACATTTCTCACAAAACCATAGCTTGGTCTCGCCCATGACTTGATTCTTACTCCATTATCCGACCCTGAGAAAACTGCATTTGTCAACGTTATATTTTGAACACCGTCTTCCTTGAGTTCCTTGCCAAGACTGCCAATGCTGTGTACATGAAATATTGGAAAATGATCAAAGCAAGGCCTAATTAACCCAATTTGATCAAGAATACTTTGTTGCAGAATTACCTTACACCATGGCCGGGGCCACATTTGATGCTATTCATAAGCAAGTTCTTGGTGCCGGGACCGATGGATATACAGTCGTCTCCCGTTTGCATTGTGCTGCCAGTGATTGAAACGCCATTAGAGGATTGAACGTGGATGCCATCTGTGTTAGGGCTCGTGTCCGGAGCAATAAGCTTCACATTTCGGACTATCACATTGTTGCAACTATTGACCACAAGGTGAGCTAGCTGACTGTTGATCGAGGTCAAGCTGGTTACTATCACATTATTTGCCCAATTGAAAGTTATTGACTGCAAATAGTAAGTCAATCTTAGTTTACTTAATCGATGATCCAACCGATCAATATGATAATTTTGCATCTCGAATGATGTGACAATTGAATTTTATATCGATTTAAAAAAAAAATCAATTATTGCGTCATTTCGAATAATAACTTTGTAAATATAATATTATAAACTTACCCTTGCTCCAACTGAACAATTCTGTCCGGATTTCCTGCAATCCCAGAAGCCAGCACCTTGAGCATCAAGATTGCCACCAGTGACTGTAAGATTATCAACCTCAATGAACAAAATCCAGTACCCGGAATTTCCAAGTGCGCGATAATCAGAAGGAGCTACAATTGTTCCAGATATCTTCACTGTAATTTTCTTCTTGCATGGCCCTCTAAACACTACATTCTTTACCAAATACCTTCCATTTGGAACGCTAATGGTGGCCGCCTTGGCTGAGCTACACGCCGCTTTCCATGCTCCGAGAAACGCCTGTGTTGAGTCTGTTTTTCCATCTGCTTTTGCACCATAGCTGGTCACATTGAAAATTGCACTACTTGAAGCTGCAATTGAAGTTTGAATGAAGAAATACAGAAATAAAGAAGAGAAAATAAGCTTAATTGCCATATCTTTTGGATAATTAAGCAAGAAAAAAAACAGTTGGTAGACAGTTATAATTTGATGAAACAAAGAGGACAGTTGAAGAGCTATTTATACTACAAAAGATGCTTGTAATATAAAGTTTAATTGAAATTCGAATAATTAATTTTAATTACCATAAAGTAATTTTTGTCAAAAGTTAATTTCTTTCTTTCTTTTTTTTTTTTTGGTGTGGCACATTGTCTCATATACATGCATGTGATAATTATAATATTAATTGAGATTAAGTAAAGACTAAGACATGAGATGCATTAATTGATAGCTAGAATTTGCGGCTAATTAATGTATTAATTTGG